ATTCTGACTTTACGTCTCATGATTCTGACTTTACGTCTCATGATTCTGACTTTACGTCTCATGATTCTGACTTTACGTCTCACTATACTGACTTTACGTCTCATGATTCTGACTTTACGTCTCATGATTCTGACTTTACGTCTCACTATACTGACTTTACGTCTCATGATTCTGACTTTACGTCTTGTTATTTACTTTACATCTCGCAATTCTGACTTTACGTCTCACAATTCTGTGTCATTGCTTGTCATTTACATCCATAGGTTTATATGTTTCCGTAGTGTTTGTTCAATCATTATTGCTCATACACAGTATTATAGAGATGTGGTTACTTTGGGAAAAAGCTTTGGCAAAAATACTCGTGAGTATTTATCTATAACTAGGTTGCGAGTTTAATCCTAAAACAAGGTGAACTGGAGGGTGACTAAAACTGCAACACCAGGTTGCTTTGGATCAAAAACATGTTGAGTAAAACTCATTTACAGCCATTTAATTATCCTTACAACTTCTACGAAATGCTGCAATAATAGCTGGAAGGTTTCCTGGTTAAAACTTAAAGCTTTTGTCCATTTGAATGAAAACCTTTGACCACTTCAACTGTGAATAATAAACCATTTCTTCAGGACAAAGAATTAAGCAACCAAAGCAAATAAAGTTTCGAAAGCTCAAGAAATCTATTACTGAAGTTTCACGAGCTGGACTTTATTTAAGTTTATGCACACATTCCTATGCATATAATGCAATGGAGGATTGTTGGACGGAAGCCAAACTTCACAGATGTACTTCAGCAGAGGAGGACAAACAGTTCCCTCTGAATGTAGGAGGAACCACAGAAAAACAGACACGTGTTCCCCGTCCAGGAACAAAACATACCGTCCCACTTTATTTACATCTCGCAGAGGCACCTTTGTTTTATGGGCATTAAGTGAATGACCCAAATGTTGCCATGAAATCAACAACAGTCTGTTATTCTACTGAGAAAGGAGCAATGTTTGTGCAATATGCAAATCTGAATATATGCATAAGAAACTATGTTGAAAATATGTTCAACTCATATTTCACAACAACAAAATCAATATTTTGCATAAAAAGAAGCCTATTTGAAGGATTTTCTTCTAAAACCCATTTCACATATATTATTTAAAATGTATTTATATTATATTAATACTAATTTCTTAATTCATACTAAATACAAACTTATATATATATATATATGTATATATACATATATATATATATAGAGAGAGAGAGAGAGAGAGATTAGATTTTTGTCATTACTAACACATAAATAAATACATACACACAATATACATTTAGGAACAATATTTAATAAGTCCATAGTAGTAAATGTAAATTATACGTATGTATATATGTTAGTATATATAAACAAACATACATAATTGCTTGTTGTACTGCCTTTAATTTATCATTAACAACAATGTATTAAAATGAAAATATAACAAGGATCACTAATTGAGAATGACGAGAATGACAAAAATCTAAACTAAAATTTCTGGAGCGATTGTTTTAATGAAAAATTGCATTAAATGTCAAAAGGTGTTTCATTAAAAATGTTTAATTCCGATATATCTTAGTAGTCATACATTTTCAATTTTTCCTCAGTTTTTCCATTCCGATTTCATGCAAAATATAATTTCTTGTTTCTTTCTTTTTGCTGTGAAATACATTTTTCATGAGCTCCGCCCTGTGTTTCCGGCAGTCCTAGCAGTGGAGTTAGAAATGCCCTTTTGCTGAATACAGAAGTGGACAGTCAACATCTCAGCTAGAACAGAACGTTCAGTACTTTCATTCAGAAACGTCTCTGCGGCCCGCTTCGATAAAGGCTGATAAACATCTACTGACGTTCAGTGGTTCATCAAGCATCTGCAGGAACTCAAAGCAACGTTTACACAGGGCTCACATTGCATTGCTTTCCCTTTCCCACTCAAGCTTTAACATGAACTTTAACTTTTATTCGTATTATTTCCACATAAAAGCAGTAAGCTCGTTTTAGGTGATGAACAGGAGAGCTTTGACTGTTTTTCTGTAGGAGCTTCAGCTCAAGGACAAAGACTGAGGCTCTTATTTTCATTCTCCACCCAGCTGTCTCTCTGTGTTCCTGCAGGACTGTGTGCCACACGACTCCCACGTCTGTCTCTGAAACTATCCCTCAGCCACTGTTTTAGCCAAACAGAGTCTCACACACATGCTCAGTTGACTAAATAATAACTAGAGAAAACGCTAATGAAAACACACACTGGCTAAAGTCACTGAAAACCATTTTTGTACTGGTCAAAATGTAAATATGACACACTTTTGCTCTTTGCAAATGACTTACACTTTGAATATCAAAATGCTTGAACATTCTGAGAGATTTTAATATGAGAGGTGAATAATTGAAAAATCAAATAAATAAAAATAACCCAATAAAAACCAAACATATAAAAATAGGATTTTATGTATTTGAATTGCATATAATATTTAGAGTTTTAACATTCATTTATAAACATAATGTAATGCGTCTTTATCAGTCATACATGAATGAAGCGGGTCAGATTAACTGACTAAAAGTACTAATAAACTCAACGTGTTTTAAATACAAAATAACCAGGTATATTTATTTATTATAAATGTTTCAATCAATGCATTTTAACTAACGTGCTTGTTCCACAGCTAGTCATATTTAAATCATGTTCATACTTTTAACTGAATAAATGCAATTCTTTTTGCAGACAAAAAAAACTGATTTATGCTGAATCTAAGCAATTTTGAATACACGTATTTTGATAAATGTATTGTTTTTTTTATATAAAATCAAATATATTTCTGACAAATCATGCATCGCATTACATTTACTAGTTTCTTAATTTTAAAACGATATAATCCAATATGCAATTCAAATACATACATTTTAATTATTTATTGAGCACATTAAGAAAGTAGGCCTAAATAAAATCAATGCAGATTTCATGTTAAACTTCATGTATATTTTAATGCACCTGTGATCCTTTAAATTAATTCATGCAACATTGTGAATTGTGCTTTAAAAGGCTTTTATTGTACATGTGTTCAGAGTTCATACATGTAAAAATCCACACTGTGAAAACATGGGTTCTTATTTTAAAGTATTCCTAAGGCTGTATACAAAAACACAACGCATATTTACACACATGATCACAAACACTCAATGCTGACGATTATAAACCAGTGCAAAACAACATACACCTACAGTACATTCATAAGAACTTCAGCTCATTCAAGACGGGGAAAAACCAATGAATATGTTTACAAGTGGAGAAACTGATCCGTCTGTTCTGAATGCAGTCACGAGGTCGTGAATCCCAGGAGCTGCTCAATGGGTTTATATTTCCACTCGTCTGCCTCCAACTGCTCCACCAGTCCAGCCAGATGCTCCATCCGTGACACCTGCTGATCTGAGATCAGAGACCATCCAGATCAACCATCGGTGAAGCTCAAATTCTCATTCACACTCTAGTGTGCACAGAGCTTTAGAGGAAATGAAAATGTGCTGGAAATGTCCTCACCCTCAGGTCATCCGAGATGTAGATGAGTTTGTTTCTTCATCAGATTTGGAGAAATGTAGCATTGCATCACTTGCTCTGCAGTGAATGGGTGCCGTCAGAATGAGAGCTGATAAAAACATCACAATAATCCACAAGTAATCCACAGCACTCCAGTCCATCAGTTAACATCTGGAGAAGACAAAAGCTGAAACTAATCCAGCATTATAACGTTTTTAACTCAAATATGAGTCCATAATCCATAATAAGGCTTCCTCCAGTGAAAAAGTGTTCTGGTGTGAATCAGGAGAGAAATCTGCACAGATCAAGCAGCATTTAAACAGCTCTAAACACATATGTGGCTGGATTTTGATGTGAGAGACAACAGCAGATGCTCTTTTTCACTGGAGGAAGAGTTATTATGAATTATGGACTCAATGTATTTTAGTTAAAAACGTCTTATTGATGGATTAGTTTCAGCTTTTGTCTTCTCCAGATGTTCACTGATGGACTGCAGTGCTGTGGATTATTGTGATGTTTTTATCAGCTGTTTGGACTCTCATTCTGACGGCACCCATTCACTGCAGAGCATCCATTGCTGATTTCTCCAAATCTGATGAAGAAACAAACTCATCCTAATCTCGGATGACCTGAGGGTGAACTATATAGGTGTGTTTTGTTCAGTTTTTATTTTAACTCACCGTGTTTAACCTGCTTCAGTGTGGATGCAACTTGATAGCTGAACACAGACCCGCATAAAAATCTATCAGATCCATCTGCGGAAAAAGGCAAATGTATGCATGCAGTAGATCAGCATTGTGACAATCCTGTGTAACAAACACACGCAAACCGGCTGTAGGTCTCATTAACTAACAGATGGGAATGACCGCTCGTAACAGCCCCGTTCTGTGCGGGCCGCTAGGAAAATGATCCAGAAGCCACGCTCAGATTCGAGAAAGAGCCACCAGTGAAGGACCTAACCGTACGTGCCATTTTTGAGCTTCAGCAGGACAAAAAGGGTATTCAGCAATGCTAAAGAAAGAGGGAAACGGCGCACACACCCTCCATCATCTCTCCGGCTCCTTTGGGGTAAGTGTAGAGCACTTTCCTCGGCGGGATGAGCTCAGAAGCACTGAAGCCGGATCGGGTCACCGAGCTGCCGCTGACTCCTCCAGCCGAGGACGGGGACGAGGATGCTGCCATTCACAACCTACAGATCTCACATCACATTAAAACACCAGAACATGCCAGAAAACACAGTTCTGCTGATGCACTGAATGAGTCTGTGAACTAAACAGCACTACTTTAGTTCACACAAGACTACAGATTACAGACTGATCATCCACGACCATTCAATCTCTGCCACTGTTTGGGCAAAACCTGGTTTTCTTATACACATGGTCTGTTCTGTTGACTAATAAACAGAGAAAATTGTACGTATTTGTAATACATATTTACAAAAATTTTAATTTATTATATTTTGTGGACTTTGGGCATTATTATTGTACATAACATTTTCAAAATTTAACAAAAATATGTACTAAATACGAAATAGTAAATGCTAATAGAGACTGGTCAATTTTTTAAAAAGTACAATATATAGATATACATGAAGTATATTTCATTATAACATGTTAAGAGATATATTATGTATATATTTATAGTATATTAAATAGATTAGCCCCAGTGGGAAATATAACACCTTTTAGTTTTACAAATTTTAGTTTACATTTTTATTTATTTATGTATGTTTTGCTTTAAGTCTAGTGTTTTATTGAATGTTTTCAATCTAATTGTGAACGTGCAGAGTTACAAATGATCCAGTTAATGTAGCATTCTCTTTATTGTCTCTGATGTCTTTGAGATTCTGCAATAATGTAACCAGCAGTATTACGGTCCAGTGCTGTTACACTTCTTTATGCTACATTAACTTCTGTGTGTAAGTGAGCTGTGACGTCTTTCTCTGGAAAAATCCAGCTCCGGAGGAATGTTATGAAGAAGAAGAGGATGATTATTCATATTCCGGAGCAGGTTTGTGATCTTTAAACGGAGTATCGGTCAGTTCCACTGCCATGTATTCATATGTGTATCTTTACAAGTTAGTGCATGAGTTCTAGATCACTCTCACACTTATGGAAGCCAGTTTTCACTGTAGAGTTAAATTAAAAAGGTGACTGACTTTGACTTACTTAATATGCACAGTATATGAACACTAAACACAAGCGAGGTTTCTTAAGCTGTATCTGTCTCCCCCTGGTGGCCGGAAGTTATAACTGCAAGTTATTTAGTAAAAACTGGTCTCTCTCTCTCACACACACACACACACACACACACACACACGCACACACACTCACTCACTCACTCACTCCCTCTCTCTCTCTCTCTCTCTCTCTCTCTCTCTCTCTCTCTCTCTCTCTCTCTCTCTCTCTCTCTCTCTCTCTCTCTCTCTCTCTCTCTCTCTCTCTCTCTCTCTCTCTCTCTCTCTCTCTCTCTCTCTCTCTCTCTCTCTCTCTCTCTCTCTCTCTCTCTCTCTCTCTCTCTCTCTCTCTCTCTCTCTCTCTCTCTCTCTCTCTCTCTCTCTCTCTCTCTCTCTCTCTCTCTCTCTCTCTCTCTCTCTCTCTCTCTCTCTCTCTCTCTCTCTCTCTCTCTCTCTCTCTCTCTCTCTCTCTCTCTCTCTCTCTCTCTCTCTCTCTCTCTCTCTCTCTCTCTCTCTCTCTCTCTCTCTCTCTCTCTCTCTCTCTCTCTCTCTCTCTCTCTCTCTCTCTCTCTCTCTCTCTCTCTCTCTCTCTCTCTCTCTCTCTCTCTCTCTCTCTCTCTCTCTCTCTCTCTCTCTCTCTCTCTCTCTCTCTCACACACACACACACACACACACACTCTCTCACTCTCTCTCTCTCACACACACACACACAGGCTGTTATTTAGAGCAGGAGCAGCTTGTCCCATCCAGAAGAGGCTACGCCTGCTTTCTCAGAACCTCTGTTCCATTACATGGTCCAAATCATTCTGAGAATCAAATCCAGAAAACAACTTCATTCGCTTTTTGTTTTAACATCTGCTCTCTGGTTTCCGAGCGCACTGTGCACATGCGAGTTTGCTGTTTATGTCGCTACATCTCTCTGAAGTGTCACTTCTGAATCCCCCATCAGCTGGTTTCCATAGTAACCCCTGATTCTGTCATGCAAATATTTATGAAGTTCCCCCTGAATAATAATGGGCTTGTAAATGAAGCGTGAAGCCTAAACTGAGCCTCTGTTTCTCTGCAGATGTTTGAGCTGAATTCGGTGCAGATCTCGGAGATTCTCCACTGACGGCACGAGATACTATTCCTCAGCGGGACACTAAAACACAGCTCTGGACTTTGCTGATGAATGCATCACAATTCTCTGTTTTGCAATTGAAGTATGCGTTAATAATCAGTTATCTATGTTATGCATTGTAAATATGAATATAAATAACATAAAGAGCATTTAAAATGGAACAGTTTGCTTGTGCCCTTGAGTGCAGGATCATCATGTCATCAATATTTCCCTGACGTTTTAATTGCATTTGCAAAGTGTATTTAGCATTGTTTAGGAGAGTGCTAGCATGCAGAACACTAATGAAAAGCAACACTTTTACTGATGCATTTGTGCAGCATGACATTGATGCACATTATGTGGCGGTTGAGTTTGTCATCTTTAAATGAGTTTAACAATGTCACTGTATTCAGAGCAATGCACTTTATTTTGCAGGTTTAGTGCATACTGTATGTGATGCTGAATCTAAATGAAAGCAACTACTATAAGATCAAAACCAGTATAATAAAGACCCAAGAGTCTGTGCACAAGTGAGTTTTATCACAGGTGAGTGTGTTATAAAATGCTCTGTACTTTAAAGGATCCTTTCAGGGATTTTTTGGGGTCTCTTCTGGAGTTTGACCTTTCCTGGTCACTCACTGCTTTCATCACATGGAGTAAAAGACTGAAGAAAGAAGGTTTGG